TATATATATATATATATATATATATATAATTAACCTAAATCTGTATCCTTAACGTCTCTTTTTCTCTCTCTCTCAATATATATATAGAGAAAGAGAGACGTTAAGGATACAGATTTGGGTTAATTTTTTTATTCTGAATACATTAGTTCGTTACATGTAGAAGCTCCCTCAGGTGATAAGACCGAGTAAGAAAAATATAATGGCAAGATCTATAAATGAGTTTACTCATTAAGACTGACCGTAAGGTGTGAAGGGTCTCCTCGAAGTGTATCACAGAAGGACTTATAGTAGCCAACATGACGGTGAGAGAATTTCCACCCAGGGAATCTTTAAGAAGCCTTACATCGAGCCCAAGAGCGGCGAGGTCAGCAGAGATGTGTTAAGCAGTAGAAAAAAGGAAATTAAATCAACAATAATTAAGTAGGATAAATGTCAAAAGAAGTAAATGCAATATTATGAGATCAATAAAAAAATCCTAGTTTTTATGAGTAGAGGTGAAAGACCTAAGATGACTTGGGCTCTTATAGCACGTAAAATGCAATGATATTGGCAAGAGCTGTAGAATAAAGATATCATTATTAATTACTAAAAGTTGGGCAACATTTAGACGAGACAAATTAGGTCCATAGATGCATAGGATTGGCTTAGTATGAAGTAAATAGAATTCTAGCGTTAAGCAGAAAATAGTTCATATGCTTACCAGGTGAGCACAGAGTCTCTATAGGAAACAAACCCACCATGCCTCGACGAGGCGGCTGTGGCAGATTGCTTTTGTTTTTGAATATGATGTGAGACAGAACAGGCGCTGGCGGTTAGTTGATTGGTTAGCATAGCGTATGATTCATCGTCAGGGCGCCGGCCCAAGGTGCCGCCACGAGCCGAAGAACACTGACGCTGTGGGGCAGAGGCTGGAGACAGACTCCTATCAGCGGTTTTGTGCTGGCCGAGGCGCAAACGAAGTCGAGGACGATGTTGCTTCCTAGATGAGGGTATTGAGAAAGTGGAAGATGGGGCTGGGGAAGGAGCAAACTTAGCTCCGGTGATCGGATACTTCTTGACTGCCAGCGAAGGAGATGGAGTTATAGTATTTTGGTTGGATTTTTTTACATAGGTCGAAATAATCGAAGATCTATTCGATTGGCAGGCCCCGGATAAGATGGATGAATTACTAGTACCCGCATTCGAGGTATTAGGCGTAATACTGGATAGATTTGCACAACGTGGAGAATAGGTTGCTTGTTTAGAGAGCTGGCTGATAACCTTTCCCAATGTGAAAAGAGAGCTGTTGATCTGACAACTCTCCTTAAGTAATGCATTGATTAAAGATGATGCCAGAAAAGTCAAGAAATAAGTGAAATTATATATACATTTTATCTAAACGATGGAGTATATAAATTTACAATCTATAAGAGAAACTAGCAACTTTGAAGCACTATAATTCACGTAAAATAGTGTAAGCAAATAATTATGGTCTTAAAAATGCATAATCAGCATAATATATGTAAGATAAAAATTTTAGCCAAGAATAATAACTCCGAATACATGCTATGAAGACTTTTCATCAAAATGTCAAAACTAGTAGCATTATATCGCAAATTGTAAGGCCAAGATGACTTAGCCTTTTGTTTATTCAGTCTCGTTTGCTGCAATGTTGGGCAGCTGACTTGATACATTTCCATTTTGACCTCGTTTTCGCAACTGGGTCGGGGCTACAGAGGGACTTTGCATCTTCTACCACAGTGTACGTGACAATTTCCAGCATCGGACCGTTCGGTCCATCAGGGCTCCTAGTCGTTCCGACCAAGTTTCGGAGACTAGGTCAAAATGGGAATGCATCAAATCAGCAGCCTGATGCTGGAAATAATCCATAATACTATGGTAAAGGAAGCAGGACTAGGTAAACTCTACAAGGTCTTCTTGTTGCTCGAAAAAAGTTGCGAAAACGGGAACAAAATAATACCAGAAACGTCATTGTTTATAAAAATGTTTTATGAATTCCCTTCCATTTCAAGTGAAAGTCAATCCAACCAAGAGACGGCGGATTCCTCATGGCCAGCAGTCGGTTTGCTTTACCTGAACATTCCGATTGACACTGTCACCGAATCAGTCATTTCGATTCCGATGAAAATGGGCTAATCTTTAGCTAAACGAGAAACATCACCAGGGCGGAGCATTATACTTACAAGGTATAGAGTGATTTAATTGTTAGCCTAAGAGGTTGGTGTTTGCTTGACCTTGATCGGAGCGTCAAAGAGACCTTGTTGAACGTACCTAGTCTTGTATCCTCTGCCATAGCATTAGTGATTTCCACCATCGAAGCATTGACTCGGTGCATCTCCAAAAGTTTCACTAGCATCGTCAGTGAGAGGTGCCATCGTCAGAACAGTTACAAATGACAAGTGAAGGCAATCCTCTTGACAAATTTTCTATTCAATCCTTGTGTCATTAATCCTCGCCCAGATATTTTGTTCTATCTTCTAGTGTTGCACCTCATTCTCTCAACACCACTTCATTTGGTCCATCTACCTATTCGCACAATTATGTGTACTCGTTTCTTCCAGTCGCCTAAGAGTTTGTCACTACAAGTCGGTTTAGTTAAGCGTAATCAGCTCTACAGCGGTTAAACAAAAAAATTGGTCAAGGGGACACCATTCGCTTGTCAATGATAAGTTGTAACTCTAAGCTGACGATGGTATCTCTTATTAATGATTCCGGCGAAACGTTTGGGAACGTACCAAGTCAATAGTTAAATGCTGGAAATCCCTAATACTATGGCAGAGGACGTAGGACTAGGTAAGCTCCAAAAGGTGTCTCTGACGCTTCGAATAAGTTGCGAAAACGAGATCGAACCAAAACTATAAAGTTAAAGGAGACTGCAACCAAACGGAAGACCACATCATATTGATCTTCATATCTACGATCTAATGAACCTACTTTTAGTTAGAACAAGTAATATTGATACTTCTTGTGTATACTACGGCGGAGCGCAGGATTAGGTATGTTCCTCTAGGTCTCCCTGGTTTTCTAGACTACATGTAAATAAGATATATGCAATGTGTTAACCCTATTTAGTTTAAAATGATAAAGGAGTGATAGTTGAATTTTCCCAAGATGATATGAATGAGCCATACGTTCACATTGAATTGGAAAATGCCTGGTCTTCCTTAAAATTCATATATGGTCTATGGCACAAAGGCACTCGTGGCAATGTGACGTCGTCGTTGATGTATACATCTTATACATTGCACTGCCATGGTTTGAGTGCCACAGAAGGTGTTGATAAGACCTATGCGAACTCGAAACTGTAATCCATCTTGTATGATAATGGATTTTGGAAAAGTAAAGCTATGTGAGATTCAATGTAAACGTAAGGTCTACTCATAGCATCACGTTAAGCCAAATATGGGAAACACATCTCAGATAATAGTTTATCATTATTGTATATTTGATTTAATAGAGCAGGAGGTAAGTTGGTCAGAGATGTACATAATAAGCCAGGAAGTCAACAGAAAGAAGGGCCTTATACGATGAGAACACAGGGAAAAGAAAGATTAGAGAGGACATTGAGATCCTTGCTGCTAGAAATTAAATTAAAAGAAGATTGAAAGAAGGCAAGGTTAGCGATAACTTTGCCTATTCCTTGAATAAACTTGGGGAAAACAAGGATATAAGATCAAAAAAGGAGATGCCTGAATCGAGGACCTATCGTAAACCAGAGGTGAAGGGATCGCAATGAAGAAACGGTTGAGGGACATTCGAAAATCAAGAGAAGACAATTTCTGTGAGTGTAGCCTGAACGAGGAAACAACTACGATTGGCGGTCACAAGGATAAAAGGACGGATAATCACAACCGTAAGAGACTAGAATTTCGGAGCCAAATTGAATAGAAATTCACTCAAGATTTAGCAGGAGACCGGAGATAAACTTTCCAGTTTGCTCAGGGCACACGGATTGGATTAAGGAAACTGACTAAGGAGACAATGCCTGATATCTGTAAGTCTGGGGATCAGAACTTCGGTGAGGACAATGTATATGTTGTCAAATGTAATGGCAGACCATGAGAAATACCGTCTGGAGCAAAACGCATAATGTGTTTGAAACCAAGTTAAATCTATTCGTAAGTAAGTAGGGTTTCGAGAGTACCAGTAAATCAGTGCAATGAGATGTATTCACCCTATTTCGTCTAAATTGATGAAGAACTGGTAGTACAATTTTCCCACAAGGATGAGTTGAGCTGACGTTTTCCTTTGAATTTCACAT